GCTAAGGTTCAAATTTCCACAATTTTTTTGTAAACTTTTTTTAAATTTTGTATTCTGTATGTATTTATCTGATAAATAGAAAAAAAACTAAACCGAAATCTTTTTTCGTCATTGTTTTATCGTTAAAATACCTAAAATTTTCTATTCTCAAATATGAGTGCGTCTAAATTTATGAAAACCACTGTATATATATATATATATATATATATATATATATATATATATATATATATATATATATATATATATATATATATATATATATATATATATATATATATATATATATATGTATATGTATATGTATATGTATGTATATATAAATATATATATATATACATATATATATGTATATGTATATGTATATGTATGTATATGTATGTATATGTGTATATATATATATATATATATATATATATATATATATATATATATATATATATATATATATATATATATATATATATATATATATATATATATATATATATAGAAAGTTAATAGGTATAAAGAAAAGTTTTTGAGTTATTAGATATTGGTTTACTAACTCTAATTATTTTCCCTTCAGTTGCCATTCTTACAAACACATTATACTTAAAGTTAGTTTTTTTTGTTTTAAATAATAATTAAAATTAAAAAGCCCACTCACTAAACATTCATAAAGTATTTTTAACCTTTTTATTTGAATTCTATCTAGTTAATTTACTTTCTACAGTAACTCATTGATTTAATTATTTCATTTGTTTATCTTACTAAGAAGAATTGTTTCAAATATGTCAAACTTTTCAAACTACGCGAAGCATAAAATAGTTATTTAAAAAGTTAAATTTTTTATTTATAAAATAATTTAGTTTAAATAAATCTAAAACTAACATTAATTTTATTAGAATTTTGTTGGACTTTTCAGGGCTAGGGGCTATTTTTATTTTGGAGGCCTTTTCTATGTGCCACAGCACAATAAGGTTATCTTGACTATTTCGGGGCCTCCTCAATCCAGCACTGGAAATAAAACACAATTATATAAATAAAAATTATATTATACTCTTTGATAAATAAAAGAACATTTGTTTCCTTATTAAGCAATTTTAAGATGTTACTTTATATAAACAATTGTCGCTTAATTTTATAAAAAATGTAAAAGAGCAATGTTTCGAAAATATTTGTTCTAAATGTTATTAATTTTGCTTTAAGTTTTTTCGTGTTAAAAGTTATTTTCTTTTTCTAGTTTTTTTTTTTTTTTTTTTGTTATTGTCTATCATTGGTCCAATTAATCTTTTGCGCATTTTTTTGTTTTTGTTTTTTCAAATTTTCCTAAAAATAACTAAAAAATCTGGCCTGTTTTTTGCAACGGGATGTGGGAGTGATCAAGAGCGATCACTCCCACATCCCGACCGAGCCTGGTTATCATTTTTTTTTTTTTTTGCGCTTTGGCAATTTATTTATTTATTTTTTGTTTAATTTCCAACAGGTTTTTCTTTTTGGAAATTAAACAAAAAAAAAATTGTCAAAGCGCAACAAAAACTTTCTATAATAATTGTTATTATAATTAATAATAATTGATTGAAATATTTGTTTACAAATATTCTTTTTTAGGACCAGCAAAAAAAAAGTTTGAAATTCCAAGTGAAACCTGAAAATTTATTTCTTCCGACTGATTCACTATACAATGTCCCACAGGACAGAGAAATATTTTTGTTTGATCGCGTTGTAAATATTCAAAATGGCATTAATGTTCCATTTGGTATGAGAGGAACTGTTATTGGAATACACAAAGGTTTTTCTGATTTTATTGTTGTTAACAAATTGCAACTTCTATAATATGTTTTTAAACATATACTGATCAAAAATGAATTTCTAAAAATATTTTATATATACAATAATCTTTTAATTGAGGAGTGGACTTGCAAAATCAGATAGTTCACTTTTTTTTCATTCTTAGATAATTTTAATTATTCTGACAGAATAATTTAAGGCAGGTAAAATGTTATTAAAATTGTTGCTTTTGAATTCAATTTTTATTTGTAAAGGTGTAGAAATACTACTACAAAAAATATGGTTAAGTCTTTTTTTCTTTTAATGTGAATTATCTGGTTTTTCAAGTTTCAAATTGAAAAGTCAAAGTAAATGTATAAAACATATTAAAAGCTTTGATTACAAAAATAAAAACCTAAATTATATTTTTCATTTGTTTTCAAAAGAACAAAAATGTGCTCATAGTTAAAAAAATTTGTAGTAAAACAATGTTGCAAAGAATTTTAAGCGAACTGTTTGGCAAGAACAAAATATTTCAGAAATAAGTAAATTTTGTTTAAATTTTATTGCTCCAAATAAGTCTTGCCCCTGTTAAACCTCATCATTAAATATTTCTTACCATCGGTAGAGGTATATTTGATTAAACTTGTTTTGAGTGAATATTTCATTTAGAATTGAATATCAATGCTCAATAAAAATTTACATATATATATATATAAATTTATTTATATATATATATTTTTTAAGACCCCCCTCCCCCCTTTATTAATTTTTATTTTCTATTAACAAAAATAATGGTGGAGGTGTACTTGATTCATGTGCAATTAGAATAATGATTTATTTTAGCCGTCGTTTAGTTAAAATTGATGTAATAAAATATAAATTATACTATATTTATTTGTATATATATTATTATACTATATCTATTATATTTCCTTATTCTGCTAAGATATGCCACTAAACCTCCTCAAAACCCATAAATCAAGTACACCTATGCCAAAATCTTGGTGTACTTGATTTATTATTAAAATCTCAAGACTAAAAAAAATCAGAGTATTTGTATCAGTCACAGGTATAAAAACTTATAAAACCGTTGACCTCTAAAAAATCTAGTGAACTTTGATTTGTCAAATATTAGATTTATGTTCTATCTCACCATTAAATTTACATTTTATCTCACCATTAGATTTACGTTCTATCTCAACATTAGATTTACGTTCTATCTCACCATTAGATTTACGTTCTATCTCAACATAGTATAAAACTTATACTAGCATATTGAAATTATGATAACTTTTGAATTTATGATAACACTGTTAAAATATGAACATTTGACCACAAACCACACTAGAATTAAAACTGTTTTATTCATGTTCTGTAAAAATTCCAACCCACCATTTTATTAAGATCCATCCCCCACATATACATACACACTGTCTGTTAAATCTGGACTAAAATCCCCCTCCTCCTCCTTCCTTTTACTCCCAAACCACCCCTACCCCTACTCCTTGTATTAAGCACCCGAGAGTACTTGAAATATCACTTGCGTTTTTAAAATTTTTAAGTGCAATATAATACATATTACAAATAATAAATCGTTTTCATAAGCTGTGTATCCAATTTAACTTTTTGTTTTAGGCACGGACCTAAACCACCTTTAAATAAAAGACACAGACCTCTACCTTTTCAATGCTCATTTTTATAATGCTTAAGAAATTTATGTCAGTTCAGAAAAAACAACGATCTAGAAAAAGAGAGCATTTTGATTCTAAAAAAAATGAGGAAGAAATGAGGAAATGAGGTCTAATTGTGAAATTAATTATTTTACGAAAAAAGAAAACAAATAATTCATGTTTGTAAAGACTTTTTTTAAATGCTTACATGTTGGTAAGACTTGTGTTCAAAATATTGCTAAAAGTTTCTTTATAAACGGAAATCCAAGAAAAGAAAATAGAGGTGGTGATAAAAAAAGCCACAAATTGAGTGATAAGTGTGATGCTGTGGTAGAATTTATAAAGAGTCTTTCTGGAAAGGATTGCCATTATAACAGAAACAAATCTAGAAAACTGTATCTGCTGTCAGAGATAAAAAGAATTAAAAACGTTTGGAAAATGTACACAGAAAAGCAACCTAATCTACCAGTAACATGAATTTCTTCCAAAAGATTTTTATACTTTAATTGTTTTGCATGTTGATTTTGCAAAAGAATTTGACACCAAAGTGTGAAAATGATTTAGAAAGAAAAAACAGTTTGATTGCTGATTTAGCTGTTCACAAACGAAGAGCAAAAGCGTTCTATGATCTTTTGACAGAACAAAGAGAATTTAAAAATTCAAACAAAGAGGTTTAAAAGTTATTTGCTTTGAACCAAATCATCTCTAAATTCCAGATCAGCAAGTAGACAACTGTACATATACAACTTGTGTTGTAGAAAATAAAAATAGTGGATGTTTAAACAAAGATAATATCATTATCTAAACTTGAAATGAGAATGACTTCAAAAAAAATAGTTCTTCTTGCTCCATCGCAGTGTTTGACAAGCTTTGCAGTACAAACATGGATGGCACAGACACTGTTCACTTAGTTTCTGATGCTTGTGGTGGTCAAAATAAAAATAGTGTTTTAATTTACATGGCAAGCATCTGGCTGTTAAGACATGCACCAGTATTAGTCAAACAATTGAACTTTTGTTTCCTGTTTGAGGGCATATGTTTTTGCCATGTGACCATGTATTTGAAACTTATAAAAAAAAGTTTGAAAATTGAAAAAATACATTCTCCCGATAATGTTTATTATAATGTTTACAGTGCTCAACGAGCTGTAAAAATTGCTGCAGTAGAATGGAATTTGTTTGATTTCAAGTCAGTATGTGAAAAAGTCTTTAAAAGGCCATCGCCAATCAAAATTCATGAAAATTAACGCTTTTTTATTACAAGAGAATCAACTAAAATTATTGAAGTTCAAGCGGAACCTATTTTTAAATTTCTGCTGAATGGTCCTCAGATTATAACTAAAAGAGGCCATAGTTGTTTATCTTGTCCATCTCATATTTAAATAGGGAGTCTCAGTAGCAGAGGCAAAAAAAAAAATATCAAAAGCCTAATGCATACTTTATATGTGTTACTACACTGAAGTAATTTTTACCAACAAATTTTTTTTTTTTGAGTGCAAGTTATGTGTGGGTCAGTTTTCCTTCAATATCTCAAAATCAATTTGTTCGGACTTAGCTTGTTTTTTCAAATAGGCTCCTCATATGCTATAAATGAAATCTGATAAACATTTCATATCTGATGGCTGTCAAATCTGGTATTAATAATTTAAATTACAGTTTTAATAATATTTTTAAAACACTCCAGTTTTTAAATTTACTATTAATTATTCTTTTCTTGTATTAGTGATTTTACTAAGTTTAAATTTTTTATTAAAAAATTTACTTTTTATTAAAAATTTATTTAAAAAGTTTATTTATTCATGTTGTGTGTTTGCTTTGCTTTCATATTTCAGCCTCTATTTGATGTTGTATGTTTTGCTTCTATATATTTCAGCCTCTATTTGATGTTATTTGTTTTGCTTCTATATTCCAGCCTCTAATTGATGTTTGTACTGAAATTGTATTTTCTTATGATGTAAACAGAAGTATTTTTTGCACCTACAGCTATATTTAAAAATGATTTATTATTTTTTTATATTTTTGTTATAATTTTTTTTTATTTCTTTATTATATTTTGTTCACATTATGTATAACATATTGATTATTTTTGTTTAATTTTAATTTTTTTATTTTAAATAGTTTTAATTGATGAAAATAGTATTCGTGCAAAAAGTGAGCTACGATATGAAGTACTTTTTGACGATGTTTTGCTCGGTGCTTCTGTGAGGTTAGCATATAATTTGTGTTTGTAATCAAAATGAAACTGTTTTACACTTTAATTAAAATAGTTTTTTTTTTTTTTTTCAAAGCTTAAAAAAGTTTTTTTAGTATCAAGTTTTCTAATTTAATCAAAAAAAAATTTTTAAACAATTTGATAATAAATTTAATCTCATATAATCTGTTTTATTTGATAAAATTTTTAACAAAGCACACTGTGGACCAGAGATAAGTTTATAAACATTATTTATTTTATAAACATTATTTATTTTATAAACAAAATTTATTTTATAAACATTATTTTCACAGTCATTTGTTGAATCAAATATATCTAACTAAAAATTAAATATGTTAAACTAAGGTACAGCTTTTTATGTATAAGTTTTATTATTTCTCTTAGTGTTTTAGGTATAATTAAAATCTAAAGATTGGTTCAATTTTTAAATTAAATAATATTTGAAAGCAAGATACAAAACCATAACTTTCTTGTGCATTTGTTATTAATAGTTCAGGAATTATTTTTTTCCAGATTTTCTGGAATTCTGGATATTTGTATAAATTTATATTTTTTGCCCTGATATCCAAATAGTTTTCTGGTAATACAATTTAAATATATTTTTTTAATCATAAAATAATTAAAACTTTAATTATTTTATGACATAAAAGGTATCGTTAATTAATTACTCTACTCTATATTTACTGGTAAGGCATTATTATTACAAATTGTATTTTTTATTTGTATATTTATTATTTTAAGTTTATTAAAGTAACCAAAACAATTTATTTATTGAGATATTAACAAAAAAGCATTTGTTGTTTTGCCATTATATTTCCGGTTAAAAGGTTAATATCAATTTCATAAATCTGCCTAATATTTTTTGTTGTAAAATATCTGGTTGCACTAATATATATATTTTTTAATAAATCAAATATAAATTAGATTTTTAAAGCATTTACTTATTGAGCTTGCTATTTTTATTTGTTTTTTTTTTACGTTTTATAAATGGTTATATATAAGAGCATAATTTGTTATTTAGTTTTCTGGCAAAATATTTAATTTTTTATATTTTTATTTCATTCTCAACGATTGCATTTTTGAATTTTTAATTTCTATATTGTTATTTCTTTTTTTCTTTTTTTTTGTTTATTTTGTAATTTCAGTTTTTATTTTAAAAAAAGTTCATAGAGAGTGTAATTAATAAAAAGAATTTTTTTTTTTGTGTGGCTCGGTGTAGTTAAGGCGATTTACAAAATATTTGAATACTTTTATTGGAATTAGCATGGTTTTGTCAGCATATTATGCCCAAACAAGATCTTTAAATGTTATAATTTTTTTTGCTTAAGGTTTTTATGATATTTAAAGAAACTTTTCTTTTTTATATATAATTTTTAAAATCTTTTTACAACCCGTAATAATGTATCTAAAGAACACTATTTTGGAGTCTTTAGATCAATTTCGCTCATCGACATTAACATGAATTTAGTTAAAATCTTTTTAAAAAGTTACTTAATTTACTACTGATCCTAGTTCTAATATGTTCTGATGTATATTAACTATATATAGTTGTCAAAACACAATACTTCTATCAATTTTCACAAAAAATACTGGAATTCCGACCAAGAAAGAGCTTATAATTATAAATAATTGCCAATAAACAATCAGAACAGATCATATTGTTAAACTATAATGTTCATTTCACCTAAAAAACGTATTAATATAAAATCTTATTTAAATTTGGATGAGCGATTGTGATTTTAAGATGATTTTTTTTAAAAAAAAGATTCCACAGTGGGTTTTTTGGCTACAAACATTTATATTTTGATACCGCAAAATTTATTATTTTAACTTTTTTTCGTCTTTTCATAATTCACAGACCAGACCATTTCACGGAAATATGTCATAATCAACAAAATATCATACAGACGCTATAATATTTTAAAAGTGCCTTAACTACACCGAGGGTCTACCTAAAATTTTAAATTGTTTATTTTGCCCATGTTAGGAATTGAGTTTGACATGCCTGATCTACATAAAAATTAATTGCAAAAGAGAAAACTAGAATATAACGTTTTTAACTCGAGTATTTGAGATTTTTTTGTTTGACATCATTTATTAACTACAAAAGCGTTAATCACATTAAAAAAAATAAAAGATCTGGAATTTACCTTTGAAAAAAAACTCAGCACTTATAGATCAAATAATTATTTTGACTATTTTACCTAAAAATTTTATTTTATTTATTTATAAGAGTTTTTATTTATAAACTCTTATTAAATAAGTATCAAAATACTTGTCTTTTATATAAAAAGAAATTTATTTTTTTTAACACATGAGATATTCTTAGTTACACAAAATTTTTATTCTAAGGATTTTACCCTGATATTTAAAAAATTTTTAGATATTATTAGGAAAATATTTTCCGGATATTTTAAAAATGACCAGGATAATCTCGAAATAGTTGCATATTTTAAAAATGGCCAGGATAATCTCGGAATAGTTGTATATTTTACATAAAGTTTTTTAATCACACTTTCAAAACAACTATTATCAATAAAGTTTCAAAATCTTTTGTATTAAATGCACAATTAAGTTAAATTTTATAAGATCTGTTTTTCAAATATTCAATGACAAACAAGAAAAATAAATTTTTAATTAATATATGTACTTGCATCAAGGTATAATAATATTGAACATCAAAGACCAGTTTTGAAGTAATCTAGACTTTTTCCAGCCTAAAATATAAGTATCAATCATCCCAGGTACCAATCATCACGGGTATCTATCATCGTTTGTAAAGTAAATGATAAAAAGTTTTTCATTATTTATCTTTTTTAAGCCTTTTATGTAAAGCATATTTAAATATCAAGTAAGCATAAATTTATTGGTAATTTATTAATAATCTATTTTATATTATTTTGTATTTTGTAATAAACAAAATTCCCTATTTCTTTTGTTTTTGAAACAAAAGTTTACAAACTTATTCCCAAAGCATTTAATTGGTTTAACTTTCTATCTTAACTATACTTTCACGATTAATCTAATTTTAAACTTAATTTCCTGAACCAAGATTTGTATTTTGTTAATATCATTACATTTTGATTGGTTAGTACAGTTTGGTTTGTTAGTTTGGTATCTATGACAGCATTAGGGTTTATCAAAATCTTTGTAAAGTTTTGTTAGCCTTTTTGTTTAGGTACATTTTTTTTGTAGTTGTCTTTGGTTTATTAGTATTAAAAGTACCTTCTTTAGTATTTTGTGTTAGCCTCTTTGCATTAATGGTTTAGATAAGTACTTGTATTTTTATTTTAGTGTTTTTTGTTCTTTAAAATTATTTTATATTGTGTTTACCAATTTTCTTCTTCACATTACTTCTTCAAAAATTTTGGGTGTTTGGATTTTAGTTATTTGTAGTGTAGTCCTGCAGTATCTGTAGTGTAATCCTGTAATCTGCAGTACACAGGGATAAATTGTGGTGTAAAGCATATGGCAATGATAATTATCTGATAGGATAAACTAGTTATTTTTTCTGAGCCGTTTAAAGTTATTAATTTTGTCTTATGTTTATTTGTGTTCTGTTGGAACCTCTTGTGTGGGTTAGCTCAGTCACTGACTAGTGACTACGACATAAAATAAACCGTTTACCCTAACTTCCAGTTTCCCTCCAGATAAAATATCTTTCTGGAAAACTTTTTAATTTTTAAATAAAAGCAATGGTTGCTTTATATTTACATGTTTTTTATTCTGATGACAGATCTGATAACTAACTTATTATTTGACAATCATTTTCATTTCTTACTTTTTATACTTCAATCATTTTTATTCCATACTTTTGTTCAGTTTGCTATTATATTTATTTGAATCTGATACTCAAAAAATACTTAGGTAAAATCTAAACTTATTACATTTGATTGTATTTTGTTTGTATATAAAAATATTTATGATTATTTCTATCATTAAACAAATCTTTTTAATAGTTGGGGTTTATTCTTAATTTTTTATTTCACTTATTCTAACTTATTTGCTTGCTGAGTTTTTGTTTTACATCAACTGATGTCCATGATGTATTATTGGAATGTTATAATTGATTTTTTTTAATTAACATTTTTTTTTTAATGTTCATTCCTAAGATTTTTTTTTTGTATGTATTTGTCACCATTTAGCATGTTTATTAAAGAAAATAATATAGTATTCTATGCTTTTATCACAAAATGTTTCTTAATTTGTCGTGGATATATTTTTGTTCATATATCTCTTTTTTCTCTCTTTATAAGGTTTTTCTCATAATATAGGAAAATAATCAGTTCTGTGTTATTCAATTAACTTAACTACGCATCTGCCTTGTTTTTCAAGGTTGGTGTTTTGGAGTTATAGAGTTAAGTGAGGGTTGTAACCACAAATAATGTAGCCTCCTGGACTGTAGTAGCCTTATTGATTTTAGAGAGGTGAAATAAAAAAAAATAGTTTTTAAATACTAAATTGATATTTATTATGACTTTTTAGGTTTTCAATAACTTGGTAAAACTACCATTTATACCAAAGGGTTATTCCATGACAAATGGAGCAAATTTTTATAAGGTTCATCATGGCCCATCTCAGATTTTGCTAAAACTTTTTGATTTTGTACATATATATGAGAAAAGCATGTTTTGAACATTTCAGATCATCTTCTGATATGGTTTTTAAAAAAACCTTATTTAAGGAGTAGGGTATTTTGAATGAAGTTTCACTCTACAAGCAAAAAGGTTTTTTCATCATTTTTAACAACTAATAACTTTTGAATAAGTTGGTTTTTTACTTTAACTATTTTAAGATAGCAAGTATGCAATGGATACTTTTAATAAAACAAAAAAATTTAAATTTGGCATCTTATCTTTTTCCATAATGCCAAGCTAAAGTTGATATTTTTGTTTTGGAAATTTTTTTTCTTTTTTAAGAGCTTAATCTAAAAAACTAGTTGCAAATTCTACACAAGGTGGATAAAAGTTACAAAAATTAATGCAAATCAAATT